AAATGGGGTCAGATTGAACAAAAGAAGTGTAAGGTGTGTAAGGGGTCGGGGCTTGTATTGAGGGATGACAAGTACTATTTCCGATGCCCTGCCTGCGGTATGATTCACACCATATAATCTGTATATTAATTGGTTATTTTTCACCTTTTTTTTAAAAAAAAAATACTTTTTCCTTTATCCTATGAAATGTCATAAATTAGCTTGTACTTTTTATAAAATATGAACTTTAGTGTGAAATATATTCATTTATTGAGAAAACATAATTGTCTATGATCAGTCTTTATCTCTAACACAATATATACCTTCATCGAGAAATTATAATAGTCTAATGGTCAGTTTTATTAACTTTACTTCTATTGTCACGCCATATTATTGACTTATTGTTTGAGAGCCGTAAGTAACAAATAATTTTTGTGTTTCATTTGATACTTTAGGAAAAATTATTAAACCATATATCCTAACTCTTCATGAGCTACATACATTATATATTAATCGCTTCATTTTTGTAATTAATGGTATTATTGGCAGGTGGTTTTTTGCCATGGCAATCTTGGAGAAGATTCTTTACTGGTTAGGGAATCAAAACCTGAAAACAAGTTTATCTCCAAAAATTTAGTTTTCTTTTCTATTCGTTCCATCTCTTGAATCAAAATGTCATGTAGCCAAAATATTCCAGCAACTTGCTCGTTTTGTGAATAATAATGTGCACATCTTTGCGTTAAATTTGTATGCAAATTAGTGATCTTAATGACATGTGAGGAGTGGCGGATTTACAAGCTTCATCTAGAGGGGCCCGGATTATAATAATAATAATAAATAATTATGAATTAATATTTTATGAGGTGGCTTAACCATTAAACGGTCGATCCGTCATACCGTTGTAACAAAAATGTATACTTATGTTATGAAATGTCATGCTTTTGATTATGTTGCTTTTTTGGGTAGCACATTTAATTTTGAAAGTATGTATAAATATGATTGTCTAACCGTTTGGTTTGTCTAACCGCAGCCTTACTGATTAGTAATAGTGTTTGTAAAAAAACATTGCTCATTTCTTATAAAGATGTTATACATATATTGATACAAAATAAGATTTCTACATTTCTCAATTTTTTTGATGTGCAAACTAAAAATCGTACAATTAACTATTGTAAATATGGCCTACAAGCTAGATCTTCACATATTTGTAATTGAATTTAACATTTGAAAATTGTAACGATATATCTGATTTGCCAAGTTGAGAATATACCTAAACCGACGGGTTGGAATACTCCAATTGTTTGAGTAAAGTCGATCACCAGCAAAATAAGGGTCCAGAAAGATTCCCGTCAAGTCAGTATGATTCTCAGAAGTATATTCTATGAATCTCTGAGCATTAGGGTTTTACCTCTTAATGAGATAGTGTATTTAAAGTGAATTATTATTACCTTGTTTGTCAAGCTATTTGGGCATATATATATCCTAGTTCGTCTCTTCAATCCAGGTCCTTAATGTCGATCCATGGAGCTATCCTAGCTCATATATAGCGTTGGCCAAAAGCTCATTCCTGCTACTAAAGTCGACCTAATCTCTGTATTTTAGACATGTCAGGCTCAAACAATTTACTCGACGACAAGTATAATGGGTCGCCTTTGGTGGAAATCATAGAACGCGAACTAGCTCTTACTGGTCTTTCTAAAGGACTGGTGGATGAGTCTAAGGGCCAAGTAAGATGGGAGGAGCTCTCGCAAACTCAAGTATCTCCAACTCCAAGTGTAGAGCTCGTTCCTCAATTAAAGTATCCTTTTTCATATCATGCAATAAGTCATTGTCCCTATTCCCAGCCTAGATCCTTCACTTGTAGTATAGCCTACCATGTATCCTCTGTAACAACAGCCAAGATAACGGAAATAATATGATCTATATGCTTGAGCTATTTTTCAATTGTTACAGCATAAAGCTTTAAAGGGTATTGCGTTCGGCGAAGAAAGTCGCTTAATTGTTTGTTAATCAAATCTAGAGAAATTAATCTTAAGCGCAATGACGACTTACACGGTCTACGGGACTGAGTGAATGGTTTTCCCCTCTACCTTGAAGTCTTCTGTTATATTTCTTTGTCGTCATTGCGCGTCGTGTGGGCGACGATCTCCCGAACTTATGTGGTCGACTCTTCATCTCTCTTTCACTTGCCAATCTCGCACGTTCATCTCTCTCTCTCTCTCTCTCTCTAGGTAAACATGGTTTTTCAAGTGTCTTTCAAGAGAATGATACCCCTACATGATGTATTTATAGGTAAAATTCAATGCTATCCACATGGCCACTGCCCCATGCGGGTTTTAACCATTGATTTTACACACACCCATGTGGGTGGGTGTGTGTATATGTGTAAATCAATGGTTAAAATCCACATGGGGGCAGTGCCATGTGGGTAGCATTGAATTTGTCGTATTTATAGACTACACTAGGGACCTTAAAGAGATTAGGAGGAATACTTGGTGGTGTAGACAAATTAGCTTGGTAGGCAATCATTTATTATTATTATTATTATTATTATTATTATTATTATTATTATTATTATTATTATTAGCTTGAAGAATAAATTAGGTTTTAATATTGAGAGCCTTATATAAAGGACTCTTATGCTTTATTGTTGGGTGGTGAATTTTGAATAAAAATATAAATTGATATAGTGTTTAGGTGCTTGTGATTGCAATCTCATTAATATTGTCTCACTTTTACATTTCTTATATCACTTGTGTTATGGTCCACTCTATCCCTAATCCTATTAGTAATAAATCAGTCCACTAAATATTTATTATTGCACTACCTTTTCCTCACCCCATTACTCGGGCTCCACTATCCTCAATTTATCTCACCGTATTTAAGTTAAAGTACATCTGTTAATTGATATAATTACTCATAATTTTATTAATTAACTTCTTAATTTTATAAAACTAGTGCCACTCAATCTTTATTATTATGCCAAAACTCAATCCACATACATAACTTGGCATAATAATTTTTTCGCCTCATTTTGAGGACATCATTCCCTTTTGGTCTATATATGTACTTTAGCCTACAAAAGATTCAACATATTAAGAAACCGAAAAAGGTTATCCATCTTGGTGCTTTAACCAGAAACGATGAACATACCACAATAAGGATAAAAAAAGCCCTTAGCTTTAACTTTGCTAATAAAACAGAGTTGGAAAAACAAATATCAACTTTCATTTATTTTTTATTATCATAACATCAAGCAATAATTTTATGGCCCCAAAACTATACTTCCAAGGTTTTGCTGACATTGATTAGAGGGATGTATCGATGGAGTCTGAAAGCCACCATCTGCCACACGATTTTCTCTATTTCCATAAAGATTCAAGCCACCATTTACTCTGCCATAGAAAATAGGGATTTGAGAGCCATGAACAGCCATTGTTCTCGGATCATTTGTCCCGATTTGGTTCTGAACAACTTCACCATCTAAAGCTTGCAAATGTTCATTAGTTCTAATCTCAGTGTTACAGCCAATTCCAACACCAAGATCAAGGCATATAGAACCACCATCTTGTGGCCTAGCTCTAGGAATTCCGGCATACTCATTGCTACTGTTCTTGGCAGTCGGGACATCATGATTGTGCTTTCCCTCATAAGTGGTTATGACAGCTTTGGGGTCGTGAGATGCCCTCTCTACATGTTTTCGCACGGGACATCCAATATGCGTGCATTTGTAGTAACTCCTGAAATTGCAATTTAGCATGAGAGACAATGTGCAATTGTTTGAAAAAGTAAATGTTTGGACTGTGCGGGTAGATTACTTGAGATTTTACGATTTTCTTATGATAATACAACATTTCATCAAAGGAAAAAATAAATAAAAAAAGAATCTTGGACGCACCAACTATCAGATTACGAACACACGCCAGAAGCTATTAGACTATGAACACCTATTTTGGCATTATATATGCACTAGTTTTCGAAGAGTTTCCATCAAGGGAAGAGAGTGTCCAACTCGAACCAATAATAAACAGACTTCTTCAGCATATAATATCGTATAGTCCTGTTTAGCAAGTCTGCATTTACGATCTGAGCGGTTTACGAGTGTTGAGTTAACTCAAACCCAAAAAAGAGTCCAGCTCAAGCTCTTAATTTTTAGTTTCGAGCACTTGATGAGCGGCTCGAATTTATGTGTATTTACCTAATATCCCCATTTCAAAATGTTCGCATAGGTTTAAATGTTGAAATCAAATCAGATTCAAGTCAACCACCAAGCTCGTGTTATTGAGCGTCCAGTCTACTCGAGCATGCTTATTTTTTTTTTTCTCAAGTCAATTTCACACGCNATACATGCTTCATAAGAATGAAGCTTGTGTCGACTCTTTCCTTTTTTGCAGCATTCAGAATATTATACAAATATCCTGGTACTATAAAGATGGTACAGCTACAAAGATGATACAGCTAAATGGTTTCTTACAGAGCACATGATTAGATTGTATGCAATACAGCAGATAGTTGTCGCATGTTAAGGCAACCCATGAGCTTAACATAAGAAACTCCGAAAATCATCAGTCACTGCACCACAATATGGATATTGTAGCCGTCGACTGAATGCCTTTGTTTCAGCAGCCCACATGACTAAAATGAGTAATCATAAATAAAACTCCCTCATGCAATTCACGTGATTTTTCTAGCTGATCGACTCCGGCAGTGTTTACATTAGTGTTTTCTTATTTAAAGTCACATTTTTCCATATGAATTCACGCGATTTTTCAAGCTGGTCTACTCCGGAAGTGTTTACATTACTGTTTCTTATTTAGAGTCGACACCTATTCAAATGTGCTTCTTACTCAAATCTGAGGCTAAAGATTATCCTTCACAGCTAGCTGAAGAATGAACTCAATACATACCTCGGATTTGGATTGCCTCTGACCACTTTCTGGCCATACTTGCGCCATCGATATCCATCATCCAGTATATCAACCTCACTGACAGTTTGAACAACAACTCGCGGTTCACGAATCGGCTTAACAACTGGTGTTAAATCAAGACTATCCTCCATTTTCCTGAAGTTGTGAATACAGATTATAAGAAAGACACTAAACGTATTCTAATAATGTTATAATAACACATACCTCCGCTTGAGAAATGGATCATCTGCTTCACCATTGTCATTAATGCCTTGAAATTGTGAATCAGAACCATCGTTTTCCTCCTTGTTAGCTTGTAGAGGAGAAAACATGGGAGAGCCATTTTGCTCCATATTGGTTGCATTCAACTTCCCTTTAAACAAAAAAAATGAGAAAAAGATAATATACATAGGACTTGTAAATTCAAAGAGGTATGTAATAGATAGCTGCTGCACGGAGCTCCAAGCAACTTTATAGGACATACAAATTATCCTTACTATCAGGTCAGAACATGCATTAGTAAATTCGGATTTTGTTATCCTGGAAAATATAAACTTAACCGAATTAAGTCATCTATATACCAAAAGAATAACTGCATAATTGTAATCTAAAAAAACATATAAGTAAACCATGCGATACTTTTCTGAATGTACAAGAGAACCCTATTGAACCTGTTATTTATTGCAAAACATCATTCTACGGAATCAGTCATTTCATGTTCTTCAGTTTGAAACAACAATCAGTAAAAAGTTAGAGGGAAGACAATGATTTGAAATAGACAACAGGTTAAAGTAAGAGAACAGTGATAGAGATCAGTTGGGAGAACAGTAAGAGTAGGCAAAGCTTCATACAACAGCTTAATATTCGATTAAACATAATAGGAAGTTAGGCCGAGTACCCTCTTGATCACTGATTGATAAATCCTTCTCCAATTTATCCTCTTGGATGGGTAAAAGAGCCCCAAGATTGTGTCGCCTTGAAGCTTGAGGTTTTGGATGATCATGTGAACCCTTGTAAACAATCTCTGTAATCTGTCCACTTGGAGAACGCTCAAATATCTTTTTAACCTCACAATTGGGATATGTACATTTGTAATAACTTCGAGGAAATTCACTCCCTTTAACCAGTTTCTGCCCATATTTCCTCCAATTATAACCATCATCTGATGTTCTCTCAGCTGAGACCGAGGAGACACTATCTTTATGTTCGGAGGATGATTCTATAATACCCGTTTTGGAATGTCCTTGATTTAATTCATCAGTAGTACTACCAACAACAGATGCATCCTGTAAATCTCCAGCCAAAGCTGATGGTGCGGGAGATAATGAATAACGTTGATTATGCTGATTGACTGGTCCGATCTGATTCAATCCTACAAGAATCTTTTCCACAAAGAAATTAGATATTAGCACAGATGCACAGATCCAAATATTCACAGAAGACAGATTAGACATTTGCGAATATGGCAAATAGAGAAAATTGCATCTATTAAATAGAGTAGCCATGGAGGAGTTAAATCTCCAAGAAGATTTTCATCAACTATATAAAATTGATTTATAGGGTCTAGCAATTACACCTTTTATCTCTAGACAAGGAATACCCTGTGCCGTGACATAAAACTCACGTCAGACTAGGAAAACTTAAGGGCTTCATTGGTAGAAGTCATATTAACAATACCCAGTCCATAGAAAGCAATGCGAGATGAGTGACCTCCTGGGAAATGAGAGACAAAGCATGCTTAAAAGACTCATGTCACCTTCAAGTTTTGAGGAAGGACCTAGCTTTTAACAGGAATGGTATCAAAGTCGTTCGACAGACGAAGACTGAGAGCTAAGTGCTATGCTGAACAAAGTGCGACACCATAGGGAGGGAGCCACCTCTTGAACTCGAAGAAGATACCTCTAGAGTCCTCGAGCCTGGCAATGGGAATCTTGGGATCCTAAGATTGCATGACAACATCCATAAGGACATTGCAAATTTAAGGGAGCAGGTTGTAATACCATGGGCATCAATACATGTGACAAATTAGGAAGGCCTAAAAGACATGATTGGTTGAAATCATATTCATTACGTGTATCTTCTTCTCTGGCACCTTGTCCGTTGAAACTAAATTAATTGTCTTGAATTGGAGGCACCAATAATTCTTCATAGACTTGTTGACAAGACGGTGGGAAAGTAAATATTGAAAAAAAGAAAAAAAAAAAATGTTAGGGTGAAGGAACAAACAAAGTTCATGAAAAAGAGCAAAATGAGTAAACAACAAAACCAAACATGTACAATACTGAACTACCATATACTCTACCAGCTTGATAAAGAATCATTGAAAACTAAATGAATGAGAAACAAATCTAAAAGGACATCAAGTCCTGATCAGACCATGTAGTAGTAAGAACTAAACATTATCAGCCTAATTTTACTATTTTGTTGATAAAGTTGAAAAATGGTTGTCACCTCAATGCCAAATTAAAATCCCATTTTCTCCTAGACATCAATTTTACTTCTATATAGAAGGACGAGAAAAAATGGTATAGAAACCAAGTTTAGGGCATTACCGACAGCCCAGCGGATGATATTCCTGATGTAGAACAGGCTCCAGTTTGAAAACTAAACTCAAAACTGCTGGTCATTCTTTCATCAACGGTGTTTTCAGTGGAAATATTTTTTACCATTGAAAGTGCAGGATTTTCACCAGAACCATGCATCCATTGACGCTTGAAAAAGGAACCAGTGGTTGGAGAAGGTTCCGCCTGCAAAAATAACACAGATTTAAAAAGATAATAATAATGGGGAACAAAATGAGTTTTCCTGACTAACAGAGAATGACGTAGTGCTTTAGACCAACAGGAATGCCTATAACTCCAATTGAGAAACAGTTAATCGACATTTTCGTACAGAGAAGAAAAAAATAAATGTCGTTATGAAACCTCAAAGGTCTCTTACTTTTGAAGGTTATATAGCAAGGGGAAACATTTATATGCCCTCACTCTGTCATACTCAATTCTGACAATCACAATGGCATAAGTTTAAATATTTACGTGTGAGCAACTTTCCCCAAGCTAATGACACAAAAGCAAGACATCAGTCACCAAAAAGTAAAAGCAAGATTCACTTTTGTAAAGGAAACAACTCTGAGACATGATATATAAATGTCTAAAATCCTACTTGTTCCTTCGGAAAGAACAAAAAATCTTGTATCCGCATGCTGCTACATTACCATTTGATGGCAAAGAATATGAAGTGTCAGGACACCACTGAAACTGAGAATGGTTTCAGGTTCTTTTTTTTCCTTGGTTATCCTCCGTTCACTATATTCCAATTTAAGAAACATTAAATCAAAAAGTTCATACAGCCAAGTCAACAAAAGTTTTATAGTGCCTCAAACAACTCAACCAAGAAAACAGTATAATAGACCTTGATAGAGCATCAAAATATAGAGGCCCCATAACACTGTCAAAGCACCACATATATTATTCATATATTGATATTCCCTGAATGCCACCAACTACCCAGTGAGAAAGCAAAATTATACAACAGCAATATGATGAAAAAAGACTCACATATCAAATCAGTTGAAGTGCCCCCATGATAACCATTAAATACCACCACAACATATTACGATGACGATACCAACGAGTTCGCTCACTAAATTGTACATTCTTATTTACAGAACCCTAAGGGAATACTGGGCATTGCACTGCAGAATTATTTGAGATTGCTAAACTTGTATTAGTATTAAGGTAAGAAACGCAGTCAGATCTAAATTCCAATCCACCCACGCGAAATACACTTTAAAATTACGATAAAGTTTCGAAAAAAGGATAGAGATAGAGCAAACTACAACAACCAAAGTAGTCTGAATTTACAAGCATCAGAAAAATGTAACCTTGATGTTAGAGAGAAGAATGGGGGACTCCAGAAACGACGTCGGACTGAGTCCAGGTGGAACAGAAATGCAAGTAGACCTCGAGATCGGGAGTTTGGCCGGAGACATGAGACGGTACTTAGCTCCATTGCCGGATCCGGCGGCGTCGGTCACGCGATCCTCAGCTGCTGGCGCGTAATCAGAAGGGGAGTGTTGAGAGTGCGACGAGTTGGAGTCCGCCATTGATGATGAGAAAGAACGTAGTCAAAGGAAAGGCGCGTATGCATCAATTATCATTTGAGCTGCAGCTGCAATGGAGGAAAGGAGGGAGGGTGAGAATGTAATTTCGCATCGGCAGTGTCTATTTCAGATTTTGAGGAGAGAAAGGAGAAGGTTCGAATTAACTGTATTCTACGGTGGTGTTGTGTTGTAGTTTTTGAGTGTTGACTTTATCGGTTTGGGATGAAATTAGCCATTTGGGCATTTGGCCTTTCTCCAATTTCTACTAATGTTTTCCCCTGTTTTTTGGGCTTACCATTGGATCATAGTCTACAATTTTTCATTTCGTTTTGTTTGCTAGCTTGGTATTACTGTTGATTATTTTACTTTACACTTGTTTATAATATTTGAGTATATGAATCTATACATTTTTTTTTTTTTTATAACTTATTCCATTCATCCTAGATACTGACAACACGCAAAAAATAAAAATTTTTAATTGCCTTTGGCCCGACAGGTCGGCCCCTTTACCTCGAAAAAAATAGGATTAGAGCCCTTTATTGGTAGCCCGTTTAAATCAAGGTTTTTTAGGCCTGGACCGTTTAGCCCGAAGCCCGCCAGGGCTAACCCGAAACTCGTTAGGACTGGCCCGTTTAACTAGGATTGGACGGTGTAAATGTTTACTAATAAGTAATATGCTCTTAGATTCCTTGTATATTACAATTTTGCTATTTTACTTCACATGTAAGTATGAGTTGTAATGTATTACAATGATTTGAAAGATAATTATTAACAATATTGTTATTGTACTTCACACCAAAATATTTAAGCCAATCAGAACGACTAATAGAAACACATGAGACAAAGACATAACATATGAATATAGTGATAGAATTTATAATGATAGAATATCGTGAAAAATCCTAAAGCGTACAAAATAAGTAGTAATTGGTAATTGTAAGTAACAGTTTATATATGATGTGTAGTTGTATATATAGAGCGGTAAATACTAAATAGCTGTTGAAAACAATCGTTAACTAATCGTTTAAATTTTTTATATATTTTTTTATTCTTTTGATTTGTGATATTTTTTGATATATTATTATTAATATTTTTATTATAGCCCGTTTAACCCGAGACCAGCTGGGTTAGGGTTAGATCCATTTATTGGTAGCTCGTTTAAATCTTGGCTTTTTAGGCTCAGACCGTTTAGCCCGAACCGCTAGGGCTAGCCCGTTTAACATCTCTAGCAAAAAAACTTTGGTGTAGTTCGAACATCACTTTTTAACTTTCTGAGTGTACGTAGAAATCTTCTCTTCTACTTTTTTTTCTAAAAAATATGTGCAATTTGTATTCAATGTGGGATGAATCCTTTTCTTTCTTTCTTTCTTTTTTTTTTTCTTTTTTGTTTAGGCAAAAAAGATTACTACTCTGGTTCACGCGGCCAAATAGCCATGAAATTGTATTGGTTGAGCCTCTTTGTCAAGCATTATTAGAAGAGGAACACCAATGATCTCATCATGAACGTCAAATTCAGTGGTGTTTTCGTCGTCGTCATCGAAGTGGTTGTTCCAATCGGAGCCGCTTCGGGTGACGCATCTGCCACAGCTGCTCCCATCACTAAGGAGAAGACTAGTAAGTTTGTTGCAGAGGTTTTTGTTAGGTAAGATAAATTGGTTTTGTGCCTATTTTTACAGTTCTATTTTTCATAAATGGAAAATTTAAAAAATTTTCAAAATCATTTTAAGGTGAATGGGAAAATTAAGTCTAAATTTTATATGTGAGAGAACTTTATTTTGAAGAAAAATAATTGAGTTAAAATAACACAAATATTATTGGATTTGCAAACAATTTATTTTTGACAAATGTTTGGACAAGCCAAATGAATTATTCATGCATTAGACATGCTAGAACTGTAATAGGGCTTGTTGGAGACGAGCTGAAAAAAAATCATGCCCAATTTGGGGTCTAGATGAGCGCGTACGGGATCGATAGCTCGCAACTCCGACGCACCTGTTCATCTTGAAAAAGTTAAAAAATTTTGAGGGAGTTACAGAATTGAGCCTAAATACTTAAATGCGGAAGCAGTTTTCACAAAACATGAACCTTCAGGAGAACATCTCACTCTCCCTCGGAACTCTTTCATTCAAGTAAGTGTTCGGCATATACATTTAGATATTACAGCAAATACTCTCTCTTTCTAACCTACAATGTATTCATTCACCTAACTACTTTTCCAACCACTCCTAGTGGACTTATACAACTACACAAAATCCCTCCGTGTGCTTTTCGATACTCGTGTATGTGTGTGTGTGTGAGAGAGAGAGAGAGAGAGGGGGAAGTTTTGTTGGGTGGTGGTGGGGCTCACATATGATGAATGACGTTTGCCTTTATTTAATGGTCAAATGTGTATATTTGACCACAAAATGTACACTTATTTATGAAATTGTCTTTGCATGTTTCACTGCTACATTTAAAATTTGACTTAATCATAACCATTAGTATCTTGAATCCAAGTGTAGAGATTTATTCTCATTTATTTCATTATTTATCATTTTCATATCCTATATATATATATATATTTCTTATGGGCTAAAATCATTATGTCATTCATCTATTTTTTTTTTTTTTAAAAAAAATAAGATTGTTTGAGTCACATCTTCATCCATCTAGCTAAACTATGAGAGTTGTAATGTCAAACATGTTTAACTAGTCCGACCAAAAATATTATCCTTTAGCACCACTAGTACGTACCCCGTGCGATACACGGGACAAAAATATTAAATGAGTTATTTTCACAGCCTTGTCCGTTTAAGTCTAAAAATAATAGGGTTATTATCTATTTTCTACCGCTTTTAATCAACGATAAGTCTAAAAAACAATAGGGTTATTACAAGTTTTTTTTCCACATCTTTTAACCAGCGTTGTTTTTTTAGTCAGAACATTAAATATGAGCATGTTAGGGCTAACTTGTAAAATAATTAATATATTATCTCAATAAAATATTTATACTAATAAAAATTTAATTTTAGCATATAAATTTATCCCTTGATATAAGAGAAAGTAAAAGTTTTACTTATTATTGTTCACCATATATATTAATTATTATTTTAATATATAATAAAAAGAAATACTGTTAATAATATAGTGGAATTGTTATAAAATTATATGAATTATTCTTTTTTTTACAATATAAATTTAATATTTTTTTATGATTTGATAATATAAATAAATCTATACTTACATTTGACTTTTCTAACAAAGGTAAGAAAATCAGTTCTGATTTTTATCCCATAACAAATCTTTAATGTCAAACCTATAAATACCAAAACAGATATGTAATTAATGTCATTCTATTTTCAGCAAACATTAATTACCTTTGATTTTCCTGCCTATTATTTTTAGTAAATAAGATGTCTTTTTATATAAGTATAGATATATGAATGGAGAAGAAAAAAAAGAGATGGAGAGATGAGTTGAATTTTACTTTATTTTATTTTTTTATGAAGAGGATTTCTTTTCAAAATTAAGGTGCATTACCTAATACTCCGAAGCTCATCATATCCTATCATCTACGTTGGACTTGACATTGTTATTACACCTCAAGATTTTTCCGTAGAATACCATTTACACCCTCATGCTTCCCACCTTTTTAACTATATTTCTAACTTTCACAAAATATAAATAACATCTCCTCTCATCCAAGTTTAAGTTCCATTTCCTTTGATTTTTGTTTAAAAGGGTTGGAATAACCAAAGAAAAAGAAAGGAAGAGAAGGACCTTTGGACGAGGGGGAGAGAGAGAGGAGAGAGAAATAGAAAGGGTAGTGAGAGGATGAGCATACCTTCTCTTTTCATTTATGCATATTCCTCTCATTAGATCTTGTTTGTACCCCAATTCCAATCTGTTTCTCTTTCTTCCGATGGTGAGTTCTTCAATGAATGAATCGAAAATTAATGATTATTATTCTGTTTTTGTCTTATTGTGGGTCACTCTCTGATCTCTATGAATTGTGAAATTTTCAGGTTTGCAAGTGTTAAATCTCAATTGATGAATGAAGGATCCAATGAATTTACATTAAATCCTGCCTTTCCCACTTAATATTTGATCAGTGGCTGCTTCCTTGGTTCCTGCCTGATTTTCTGGATAAGGTACTAAAATTCTGCTCTTGTTTGTTGGATTAATGAAGGATCCACTAATCTGTTGCATTAAATCCTGCATTTTTTGCACAGTTTGATCAGTGATTGCTACTTGGAGTTATAGCTTGATTATCTGGATAGGGTATAATATCTTTCGGTTTTGGTTGGCTCCTTGTTTATGCTTGGATCTATTAGATTCGTATTGTGATCAATTACCACCTTTCTCAAATTAACTGCCATCTCCAGTCTGCCTGATCCGCGCATTTTACAGGATTGAGTTATGTCCAATTTTTGGCACTCTTTTTTTTNCAGTGGAGGATTGTTGAAATTTAAGTCTGTCCCTATTAATTGCAGGAAATATGGAGATGGATCAGGGAAAGCTCTTTATTGGCGGTATTTCTTGGGACACAAATGAGGATCGCCTCAAAGAATATTTCGGGGCATATGGTGAAGTAGCTGAGGCAGTGATCATGCGGGACCGGACCACTGGCCGTGCTCGTGGCTTTGGCTTTGTCGTCTTTGCCAATCCTTCTGATGCAGAGAAAGTAGTCAAGGAGAAGCACATGATCGACGGTAGAACTGTAAGTTGCTTTGATATTCTCTTCTTCTTCTTCTTCTTCTATTATATCATGATTATTATTACAATTGTTGGTCTTTCAGGTGGAAGCAAAGAAGGCCGTCCCTAGGGACGACCACCACCTAATTAACAGAAACAGCAGCAGCACTCAAGGCTCTCCAGTGCCTGGCCGCACCAAAAAGATATTTGTGGGTGGACTAGCGTCCACAGTGACAGAGGCCGACTTCAAGGCCTACTTTGACCAATTTGGTACCATAACAGACGTCGTGGTCATGTACGACCACAACACCCAGCGTCCTCGAGGGTTCGGTTTCATCACGTTTGACTCGGAGGATGCTGTTGACCACGTCCTCCACAAGACCTTCCACGAGCTCAACGGCAAAACAGTCGAGGTTAAGCGAGCTGTCCCCAAGGAACTTTCCCCAGTCCCCACACGCAGCCCGCTTTCCGGCTACAACTACGGCTTCGGCCGAGCTGGCGCCTTCCTTGGAAACTACAATATGGGCTCGATTGGCGGTTATGGGGTTAGAATGGACGGCAGGTATAGTCCCTTGGCTAGTCGGACAAGTTTCTCGCATTTCAATTCTCCCGCTTACGGTGCGAACGTGAACGTCGAGCAGGACTTGGGAAATAGCGGAAGCTTGGGCTACAGCCGTGTGCTGAGCCCGTATTATGGGAGTAGCCAGGGAAGGTACAACACGCCCATAGGGTACAACACAAGCGGCAGCCGAGGGGACTCTTTTCTCAGCTCACCTTCTAGAAACATGTGGGGAAGTGGGCTTAATAATAGTGGCTCGGGGAACAATGTGGGGTCCGCATCATACTTTGGTTCTGGAAGCAGTGGGTTTGGAGTGTTTGGAAGTAACGGGGCCAATTGGGGGACTTCCCCTATTGCGCCATCTGTAGGAGGGGGCAGTTTTGGGAATAGAGGTGGAGAGAACAGCAGCTATGGCCAGCTGGCAATGGGAGGGTTCCAAAGGAATACTGCACCTGGACGGGCGTCTTCGTTTGCTGCTGGGTCGAGTGGTGGGGTTTATGAGGGGTCGTATGGGGAGTTTTACAGGGGTGGATCTGTGTATGGGGATGCCACGTGGCGGAATGCGTCTGCCGAGCTTGATGATAATTCTGGCTCGTTTCGTTATGGTCTTGTCGGGGGCTCGGAGGATGTTGGTGGGAAGGATTCGGAGGATTTTGTGGTGGGCTATGATGTTGCGAATAGGCAATCGAGTAGAGGTAATACAATTCTTTGAGCTGAAACTGTGTGTTTTACCTGATTTCGTAAATTGGAGCTTGATTGGTTACTTTTGTTGGTGCTGGACCTGATTGTTGAGATGTGTTTATTTATTTATTTATTTTTTTGCAAGTATCGGTTTCAAATAGATGGCACTTGTGTGGGAAATTTCGACATCTCCTTATCTCACTTTAGTTTTCTCATAGTATTGTAAAAGAAACAGATATTGTCTTGTTAAGTTTTACGGGTTCATTAGTTTCCTTGTTGGTGTATCACGGAAGTTTGATACGTGAAAATGCATCTGTAGTTTGTAAGCTGAAAGATCATGGAATCTGTTAGGTTAACTGTTGTGAGTTCATGACATAGGGAATGTGCTTGCTGTAGTCATTTTACTCTGTACTGCTATTCTTCTTGTGATATCTGAAATCTAAGCTATTGTCGACCTTGGGAAAGTCTTATCCTGTATTTAAATGGGACATTGTTTTGATTTATCTGTTTTCTTGTGATATATAATCTATGTGGTTAAACTTGATCTTGTTATAACTTAAGGGGTTATCTTTGTGACTGCGCAAGTCACTAATTAACTCCCCATATAAATTCTGAGCATACAAGTGTAGGGGATTATTTTACAGTGTTGAAGTAAACATGCTAAGTACATTATGCCAAAGTTTGGGTAGAGGCAGTTCTGTGTATGTTATTCTTCTTTGGTGTATGCTTAATGCTGTCCACATGTGAGGCTTAAACAAATATTTAGCGTTGGCACTCAAAATGAGAATATGCCAACAGCCTGAGAAAATTATTTAATTTGTTATGTAATAACACATACGCATTGTGCTGTTAATATTTGTTGAATGTTACATTCAAGCCATCTCTATGATTTTGTCCAGGAATTGCTACTTAGGGAATTTTCAGTACTCTGAAGATAATGTAGGAGAAGAGACTTTTAAAACGTGGATTGTGAATTTCGTTTGTATACCTCATAGGGCACATATATATCTCAGCTTATGATGATGTCATTACAGAGATCTAACATGGGTCATGGGCCAGAAATATATACAAGTTCAGAGAGCAGCAGTTTCAAGGGATTTTGTGAGGACTTGAGGTTCGGTTTCTTTAATTATAACATTAGGTTCCTTTTATCGGCATTTTGATTGAGATGTAAATCAGATTTGCGGGATATACTCTGGAAGATCCACTCCAGCTTTATTTTGTGGTGCGACTCTTCAGCATTAAAGCGGCTACTACTTAAAACACTGGAAAGGTAGAGTTAATTTTGTATTCTTTTATCTTTTTCTCTTTCACTTGTTTTGTTTTTGGCTCTGAGGCTGGCAAAAGCTTTTTTTTTTTTGGTCTGAGATTTGTGTTCGTCTCAGACTGTATGTGAGGTTTCTGTTTGATTTGCTAGCGTGAAATGTAAAATGGGATTAAGCCTCCCTTCAATAAAAATATTGGATATGATGATGATTACCATTTTTACGGGATGTTTTGTATGTGACCGAGTTAAAATGTTCTTTATTTGTGCATCAATATAGATTTAGTGCGAGGAACAGAGTTCGTGCTGTTTTGTGTATCTTCATACTTGTTTATGTTGTTTAATGAATTTTGGATTTTTTAAAGCTATTTGAACTTTGAATTTTTATTTTTATTTATTTATTTATTTATTTATTTTTTCTTACGTGAATGAAAGTTCTCTTTAACCATTAAATCACATAGCTTTAAGGTTTGAGATTATAAACTCTGCTTTGACAACCAGCTCCCGTGTTAAAGTTTCAATATTTGAAGGAAAAAAAAAATAAATGAAAAAGGTTGCATAATGGAGGCGTGAAATACACGCTCAAATTAAGACATTTGGAATAGACAACAATCTCCTGTATTTGCGTAGTTTGAATGAAAACGTCTCTGCCAACATATCCCTCTCTTGTCTCACTTGAGTTTTTATATTTTTATTTTGTTGGTTTTTTTTTTTTTTTTAATATTTTGCTTGTGAGAAAAAGTCTTCATCTATTCATTCTCTTTCTTTACTCTATTTTAATTTATATTTAGTAAAATTTTCTCTCCTTTTTATCAAATTTTTATTTTATATTTCATAAAATTTTCTCTCTTTTCTTCTGTAATAAAATTTCTAAAATTTTTATATTTTATAATTTTTTATATTACTTAGGATTATACATTATTTTAAAAAATTTATGATAAATATTGGCAACATTTAGATTAATTGAAATAAGAAAGACTTGCAACTGTTGTCGAAAAAAACAATTAAACGTGATATTTTTGAAGAAGAACGGAACAATCTTTTCTCGTAAAAGAAAGAAGTAAAATGAGGTTTTTTGGTTTTAAAAAAAATAAAATTCTTGACAACCCGAAAAGAAAAATGAAAGCAATTAACTGAAATAAGAACGAGTTGCAATTGTTGTCGAATAACAATTAAAAATTAAGTATTTTCTCGAACAAGAACGGACACTAACAAAATTTCACTAGTGAAAGAACGGAGTAAATCGAGGTTTTCTGATTTAAAAGAAATGGAGTTATCTGACAGCCCGAAAAAAAAAATGTAAACCAATAAATTTAAATAAGAACGAATTGCAGTTGTTGTCGAAAAGTAACAATTGAAAACAAGGTATGTTTGAAGACAAACTAATTCCAACAATCTTTACTAGTGAAAGAAAAAAGTAAAACGAGGTTGTTTAGTTTAAAAAAAATGGAGTTCTTGACACCCTGAAAAGAAAAACGAAAGCAATTAATTGAAATAAGAAGGAGTCGTCGTTGTCGTCGAAAAATAACAATTGAAAACTAGGTATTTTCGAACAAGAACGAATACTAACAACCTTTGCTAGTAAAAGAAAGAAGTAAATCAAGGTTGTTTGATTTAAAAGAAATGGAGTTATTTGACAGCCTGGAAAAAAAAAATCTAAAGCAATTAATTGAAATAAGAACGAGTTGCAGTTGTTGAAAAATAACAATTGAAAACGAGGTATTCTGAAGAAGAACGAACTCCAACAATCTTTGCTAGTGAAAGAAAAAAGTAAAACAAGGTTGTTTGATTTAAAAGAAAAATGGAGTTCTTGAACCCCAAAAAGAAAAATGAAAGAAATTAATTGAAATAAAAATGAATTGTCGTTGTTGTCGGAAAATAACAATTGGAAACTTTGTATTTTCGAACAAGAACGTACACTAACAAACTTTGCTAGTAAAAGAAAAAAATAAATCAAGGTTGTTTGGTTTTAAATGAAATGGAGTTACTTGACAGCTCGAAAAAAAAAAACTAAGCAACTAATTGAAATAAGAATGAGTTGCAGTTGTTGTCGAAAAATAATAATTGAAAATGAGGTATTTTTTAAGAAGAACGAACTCCAACAATCTTTGCTAGTGAAAGAAAGAAGTAAAACGAGGTTGTTTGGTTTAAAAAATTGGAGTTCTTGGCACCCCAAAAAGAAATAAGAAAGAAATTAATTAAAATAAGAACGAGTTGTTGTTGTTTTCGAAAAATAACAATTGAAAACTAGGTATTTTCGGACAAGAACGAACACTAACAATCTTTGCTAGTAAAAGAATGAAGTAAAAAGAGATTGTTTGGTTTAAAAAAAATAAAGTTCTTGACACCCCCCCAAAAAAAACGAAAGCAATTAATTGAAATAAGAACGACTTGCTGTTGTTGTCAAAAAATAACAAAATTGGAAACTAGGTATTTTCGAACAAGAACGAACACTAACAATCTTTGCTAATAAAAAGAAGTAAAACGAGGTTATTTGGTTTTTTTTAAAAAAAAAAATGGAATTAATTGACAAGTCAAAAGAAAAATTACGAAAGCGATTAGTTGAAATAAAAATGAGTTTTAATTTGATGTTGAAATTTTTTTTGAAAACGATGTATTTTTTAAGAAGAACGAACTCCAGCAATCTTTTCTTGTAAAATAAAGAAGTAAAACGAGGTTGTTTGATTGAAAAAAGAAATAGAGTTCTTGACAACCCGAAAAGAAAAATGAAAACAATTAACTAAAATAATAACGAGTTGCAATCGTTGTAGAAAAATAACAATTTAAAACTAGGTATTTTTGAACAAGAACGAACACTAACAAACTTTGCTAGTAAAAGAATGAAGTAAATCAAAGTTGTTTGGTTTAAAAGAAATGGAGTTACTTGACAACCTGAAAAAAGAAAAGCAAATAATTAAAATAACAACGAGTCGTCATTGTTGGCGAAAAATAACAATTGAAAACTACGTATTTTTGAACAAGAACAAACACTAACAATCTTTTAAAGTAAAAGAAGGAGGTAAAACGAGATTGTTTGGAATTGGAGTTATTTACAAGCCGAAAAGAAATACGAAAGCCATTAGTTGAAATAAAAATACGAGGTCACAGGCATCAGTGCATTGTCATCCATCAATCATTTCATTTTTTAGAGCAGCTTTGAATTGTCATCCATAAATTAGCTTTCAATTGTTATTTTTTTTGTCAGGTACTTGGAATAGTGATAGTCAAAAAATGAAAGTTGCAGGTGTATTGTCATACATCAACCATTTATTTTTCTCGGATGCTTTGATTTGTGTGTTGAACTGATAAGAATTGGCACTGGAAATTTTCGTCTATAAATGAGATTGGTTTGCTACCATTTTCTACATACTATTACATCTTTCATCAGGAAACAATAGAAAAGTCATATCTTCTATATCTCTCAAACTGTAATGGATAACAATACAGATCCAACCCAGATATGTCAAACTCATCGGAGGATGACAGTCCGTCTTCCGTAAATTCCCGTTATACACGAAATATGCAATTTACTCAATTTCCTAGAATGCAACTACAACCTCAATTTTAAAATTTTCTTTTCAAGTACCCGCACCAATGCCTTCTTATCCAATTACACAAAATTCATAGCAACCTTCTTTTACCCAATCACCAAATTTAATGAACATGAATAAATCTCAGTATATGTGGGCAATGTCGTCCCAATATGGAATTCCAAATACATTTGGGATGCCTTATCAACAAAAAGATTTCATGCCGACTGGATTCTCTAGTAGCCCCATTGAAGTCCCAAGACCTTGCACGATCCCAGAGGTTGAAGGACTTGACAACATTTATCTTGATACAGATTCAGAAAAAGGAAAACAAGTTGAGCCTAAAAGACGCGGTAAAGCGACAACAATGCTGTGGTCACATGAGGAGGATGTTTTACTATGTCGAGCTTTCTGTACCATCTCAAGTGATCCGATCAATTTGAGTCAACAAAGGTGCTCACTTCTGGTTAGCTAAGGCTAGCTCGCTGGATAGACAACGAGTCGTTTTGCAGGGCATTTTCTATCTATTAATAATGCCTTCTTTTGATGGCGCTCAACAAAGTCTGAAGGTTTTTGGAGGCGAAATACACAGTACTATTATGAATCTGGTCAAGCACGAAACCTTATTCAGAGAACTATGGAGTCAGCAAAATCTCATTTTTATGGTTTTCATGGAGATTGCCTCAAATTTAATGCATCAATAAATAGATTTCGGGCTAATCAAAGAAGTGTTAAAAATGATGCAATTATTTTGCAGAATGCTTTAATGGAGTGGAATAGTGAAGAAAAAAGAAAATAAAAAATGCTTTAAATGACTTCATTGTTGGGAGGTTTTGAAAAATAATATCAAATTTGATGGAACATCTCCGATATATCGAGGAGGAAAAAAAGCTAGAATATCTGATACTAAAGATCACACCTCTGGCTCTGGGAAGTATGTTGAGCCTAGTGGTGAAGTTGAGGACATGTTTGTGCGCCGACCAATTGGCCAAAAAGCAGCAAAGGCGGGGAAGAGAAAAGAAAAAACAACTGCAGGAAGGAGCACCGGTCCAGATGTTGAACGTTTGTTGGCCGAGATTGGTGAGGTTAAAGAAATTCATTTGAAGAAACAAAAGGATTTGAAAAAGCTAATTCGTATAGAGTCATGGAAGACATACAAAGAAATGCTAAAGGAGAATACTTCAACCATGATTGAAGAAGAATTGCAAGCCCACTAGGGACTTCTTGTTGTGCTTAAAAAAGAATTGGGTCTCAAATGATCTCTTATGTTGTTTGGAGTTTTTAGCGTTCTACAATTTAAATTATTATGTATTGTTTATCTTAGTTATTATGTATTGGACTTCTTGTTATGCATTGTTTATCTTAGCTCGTACTACTCGAACTGCCCAATTTTGTTAGGCCACGTGACCCTATCAACGTGTGGCTCTTATCCTAATAATATTCCTTCTTATCTATTAGTCTTTATCATTAGATCGCAAAATGGTGCGACCAGCTCGAATCCTGTTTGAGGTACAATGTTTCACGTACCACACCCAAGTGTTGTCCTTCTGGTCGATCACAAGAGCAACCATACCTTTAGGTTGAGTTTGCCACAGGCCATCCAAGGTCCCTAGCTTCTTGGACCGTTCATGTCATCTTCGACGCAAAGACTCCTTGTTCTACATTGGCGTTCGGTCTCCATTCGACCTGCCTATGACTCTGCTCGACCGATCAGTTCACTAGGTCTTAGCCGGTCAGTTTACTGGATTTTTTTTACCTAGTGTGGTATCTCATGTCATCTGGTCCCCCCACTCTGATCGAGTTAAGATAAATCGATCTATCAGTAGATTTGTCCTTGATTTGGTTGGTGAATTCCAGTGCTGTGTTTTTCGACCTGTCTGTGAACACTTGAGTTTTGTAGTACCTTTTTCGACCTTATCTTGTGGTTTTCACTTCAAAATTCAAAATTTGAATCTCTACCTTGTCGGGCCCAATCAGTTAATCACAACGTCCCATCGTCATAAATCCGTAATTCACATTGGCCTCATACAACGTACCCATTAAATGTACCATTCATTTCTCCTTTAATCCAACGGTTGAAACTCTATTGTCTTTTCAACTAGCCTTCACATCTGAGGCGCTGATTTCGGCCACGATCCAACGGCCAAGACTTCTCTTTTTACCTTTGCTCTCCTAAGATATCAACCTTCACATTTGAGCCGCTGATTTCGGCCACGATCCATCGGCCAAGACTTCTCTTTCTGCCTTTGCTCTCCTAAGATATCAACCGTCAATTCTCTTCACGATCCAACGGCCCTATATACGTCGCCCTTTTAACTTGTCTGTTCCATCCTAATAGTTGGCTTTGATTGTGATCCGATGGCCAGTGTCAATCGACCTCTGCCCTTCTTCGTCTATAAATAACTCTACGGCCGGATTTTTGCAATATTCTACCTTTGCGAATTTTCGCCTTCGCTTTATTTTTTTCCCTCTTTCTGCAATCAAATCTCCAGAGTTCACTGCGACCAGGATTTTTCCCCGAGTTCTTCAAGATGCCCCTCTCCAATCTCGACAATGAGTACTTCACTCTCTGATTCTTGCCTTTAATTTTGTGTTTTCAGTTTTGTTTTTTCTTTTTGTTTCCCCGAACAAGTCGACTACGACCTTCTTTCTCCTCATCCTCCTCTTCTTCACCGCAAAAACCTAAGAATTTTCCATGTTTTTCCGATTGTGGTCCTTCCAGCGAAGTCGATCGCTTTTCCGCAAAGATATGACTCCTCCATAGTCTTCTTCGACCCCTCGACCTAATTTTTCTCCTTCTCCGAACCCTTCTGCTGAAAAAATTATTCAGTCCATTCCGCTTTCAGCTGTTTTCTGCCAATTAGTTTGTCACATTCTCTCAAAATTATATAAATTATATTATGTTTTACAATTCATATCATAAATATAGTGATTCATAATGTAAGTTATAGAATTTACATTTATATCATTCATTTTCACATTTACATTTATAACTTTAAATATTATATACATACATCTAATCTATTGTATTTTATTTGTACTTGTGCATGTGCACATGATTGGCTACTAGTATACATACTTGTACGCTATCTATTTAATGCATTTTCCTTCGCTTATTTAATTATAAAAATCGATATTTATATTTTGCATTAATTAAATATAATATATATTTTTTAACTATTCTATCTTATAACTCCTAATAACAAATATTTATAAATTCAGTTAAAATGTTTATGTAAGTTTTACACTTATAAAATAAATTATAGCAAGACTTTAACTCAAGCTATTATTTTAAATTGCTAATTGATTTTAATGGCACAACAAACTCCTTAAAATTGAGTAAATAATTGTTATAATAATAATAATAATAATAATAATAAATAAATAAATAAGTAATTATAATAATAATAATAATAATAATATATTCATATTTATTTTCAACTACTTAATTTGTCATTATTTTTTATAATAAAAATTACACTACTCATTACATTATAAAATCAATATATTGATTCATATATAGTTTATAGTGATATTGTAAATTTCACTGTTGATCAAATAATTAAATTTATATAATGTGATACGTCTATTATATAATGAATTATTCTAAATATAATATTTAACATTTAATATTTTATTTATATGATAAATACTAGTTATTGCGGAAAAGGAAAAAAAATAGGACATCTACATATATATAATTGTTGACACTTCAATAAATTTTTATGACTAGCATTCAAATGACAGTTACACAAGTAAAATCGTATTATTATTAATTTTTTATTCTGTAACAGCTTTACAAGATTTTAAATTTTCTGAATATACAATATTAAATTATTTTACAACTAATATTCCTCTTTTGTATTATAGTTATACAATAACAAAAAAATAAATTATTTATATAGAAGTTAAATAATTTATATTTATATTATACATTTACACATAGTCAAATTTTTAAAATGTAATACAAACTTTATTTAATTTAATTTTTCTTTTTTTGGTACAGAGGGGGGAGGGAAAAGCTCAACAAGCTATTTTTTTAAATTTCATATACGTAATTTAATATATAAATTTTTGTTTCGCTCTGTGCATGTGCACAATATCGAAAACTAGTTCATTTGGAAGAAGGGTCCATTACACACAACGTTGTGGGCATTCGCACTTATTAAGGGTTTGTGGTCCATTTGTGTAAAAAATAAAAATAATTAAAGAAATTTCCAAAACGCATGAAGGTCCAACGTTCGGACAAGCAGACCTTTTCTTACCATAAAAGGTTGGTTTGTTGATATTTATTCCCATAAATATAGCAACCATATTAATTTTAATAAACGTGGGACAACTGCAGCTTCAGAAGGACTACATTTTCTTGTCCCTTGTAGCGAAAACGAGCCCAGCTGCCCAGGACACATTTATGCAAGGAAAATTTACATTTTATCATTAATTGGAAAAGAAATATAAGGTGCGATTGGACCAGCCTGCCTGCCCGGCCCCATCAAAAGAGTGGACCAGACTAGTTTCTTTACAGGCTCTTTAACAGATCAACCTATACTTTTTTTAATTAATATTATTACAAAATAACTAAATGACAAAGATATTTGCATATAAACCTACCTTACCCCATTTAATTAGGAATATATACAATTTTAAAATGAGGATATTAATTTGATATATAGTACATTCTCTATCCTCCTCATTTAGCTCGTTTTAATTTTTCTCCTTTATTTTATTTTCTAATATTTTTACCGTCGTTACTTAAAAAATATTAGCAATTATTTGAATATTATTCAAATTAAAGAATATTTAGAAATAATATTATTTTAATTAAATAAAGCAAACCAAAAGACATAATCCAATTTATCAAAATAAGAAAAATTGTGAATATGCTTACAATAATACTAATCCGTCTACACTTTTAAATATTAGTATAATGTGATAATTTATATATATCCTTACAAACTTTATTAAATAGTACGAATTAAAAAAAAACTCAATCTAAACAATTTTTTTTATTACTGTCTATTTTTATTTTAATAATTTTTTATTTATCAATTTGATTTTGACAACTATAAATTGAAAGATCTATTTATTTATGCAAATTACATCTACATAAAAAATTTCAATTTTAAGCATAATAAAACAAAATTTGGCATTAAATTAAGTGAAAATAGACATTTGCTCACACTTATTTATAGTAAAATATATCATATATTTTTTTTTGCATCTCATTTATCATGAACTAATTAATAAAATTATTTTATACACCTTTTGTTAAGTTACCCAATTAAATAATTATTTTATGTAAAAAATCAAGTTAAACTTTAATTTAATTAAAAAAAAAATGTGAAAGAATTGTATGTTAGTTATATTTATCTTTTATAATTTATTAAAAAATAAACTAAATGTATTGTTAGGAATAATGGTAATATACCTTTTTAACATTTACTAAAAAAAATTTAAAAAAAATGTTTCTAATAAAAATAAATTTAAATAATTTTTATCACTTACTCTTTGAGAAAATTGTAAATTTGGTCCCAGGCTATAAACGTTGACCGTTAAGTCTTGACGGAGTGGGGCCATTTTGGCAATGAAAATTCAAATAGGACCATAATTGGCGTGTCTGGGACCAAATGTGGGAAACAACAAAAGTTTTGAGACCAAATTTGCAATTTTCTCCGTAAAGAAAACGTAAACACAAGAGAGAAATGAGAGAGAACTCTCGATTTTGTGTATTCAATCAGAAAACAACTAAATTTTCAAACAATAGAATAAGAGAATGAAATAGTACTCCTAGGAAAAAACTACTTACCATAAACTTCCCTAGCTAGCAAATGATTTGTGTATTCAAGGACTAAAATAATTAAATACCCTGAATAACAATAAAATAAATAATAAACTAAAGATCCCAAACTATCATATTTGTCTAGGAAAGCCAACGCAATCACGCCTCCATAAAATTTGTTTACGGACACCGCGTCCCGGTCTGTTGAGTTGATGACGTCCCCGAAATTAGCTCAATAAGGATTATTATTATGTCAAACCTAGTTGATGGATTAATTTACGACATAATAATAAAGAATTGTGTGGTACTAATTTCAGATCAAGAGTTGATTAATTATATTATCAATAATTAGATTAATCAATGGACATTAGATCTTAAATATGGATAGGTAAATCGAACAATTAGCCAAGAACGAATTATTTGTAATTCGAGAGCTAAATGGGGATTTCAATAATATTTTTATAGTAGTATATAATATTATTCGAGTATGAATCCATAGTCCCCTAGCCTCTCATACTTGGGAGTCCATTTTTTGCACCTCCTTAAGGTCCCGTTGTAGCCTATAAAAACACCAAGTCCCGTAGCCTCCAAGATCATCTTATTCTCACGCCTAAAACACGTTAGAATCTAGATTCTCTTCTTGGAAAAATTCAGATAAAATCAAGAGGTCTTAAGAGATGAAAATCGTGAGGCTTTGAGAGATCCGATGAGTCGTTCACCACGACGAGTCGGAGCAGGTAATTGGTCATACAACAGAAGATCCCGAGGTCCTGTTTCGCATCCCGACGAATATATATATGCATCCCGACGAATATATATGTCCCGCCAACACCTCGGACGACCACAAAACTTGGAGAGCATGACCACCGGAGGAAGGTGCATTCACCGGAGTGCCCAACACCACCAGCCGCAACTGCACGTGCCGGTGTCGGAGCCCCACGCGCCACCGTACGCAACGTGCGCACAGCCCACGCAAGCAGACAGTGCGACCAAGGTTTCCCCAGCTCTCCCGCACGAGTTCTCCATGCCCCAGCGCCCGCATGCACAGCGCAACTTGCGTACGTAGGCGACCTAGGCCTCCCCGCCAACGACCTTAGGCAAGCACCAGGGTGTATCAGCGAACCAGACCCATGCAGTCTCGGCCTGCAGCGCAGTCAGACCACTTGCAATGTGCACTTGAGAGGCCTGACGACTACCACCGAGGTCCAACGAACACCAGCAGACCGTCGACGGTCCGATAGGATTCCGGCGATGTCGGTAGGCTAGCGACCATGGTGCGAAGCCTACAGTGACTCGAGACACGTCTTGGACTCCAGGTGACTCAATGAGGTTCAGACGATCTCCATCAATAGAAATCAGAAGCGTCTCAGAGTCAACAAAAAATTTAAAACCATAAGTCCTGATCCTAACAATAGATTTCGATGCGTTAGGATTTATTTTCAATAGATTCAAATGTGAACATGGACGACGTTCCTCATAGAACTCAACAGTTCAACGGGTTGAGAATTGCAAGGGAGGGACCTACATTAACCACCTCTTGTTTGTTGATGACTCATTAATCTTCCGCAAGGCTGAAACTAACCAGGCCAACCTTTTGTTAAATATTCTGAGTGCTTATGGACTTTTATCTGGCCAAAGGGTGAACCTTGAGAAGTCTTCTGTTTTCACTAGAAAGAATACCCCACTCCTGACCAGACAGTGAATTTGTGCTTTGCTTGAAGGGGTAAGAGAGCTGGGGTAAGAGAACATAGCTCCACTAGAGACCTTGGTCTGCCACTAGGGATTGGTAGATCAAATAAATAAGCTTTTGAGTTCATAATCTAAACTGTTAGATATTTATAAAAGTCTAGTTAGCTGGAAAAATAAGTATTTGTCGACAACAGACAAGGAGGTTTTGATTAGAGAAGTTATAGATGCTTTGCCTGTCTTATCAATGTCATGCTTCAAACTCACCTCCGGCCTATGCAAGGAATTAGCCCAACTAACAGCCCAATTCTGGTGGGCAAAGGTGGAGATCAATGCAAAGGGATCCATTGGAAAAATGGAATACTATTACTCTGCCAAAAGAGAAAAGAGGGCTGAGATTTCAAAACATAAAACCCTTCAATGAAGCACTCATCCTTAAGAAGTTGTGGAGAATCACAACTCAACCTAATCTTCTAGTAAACAGTATCATTAAAGTTAGATAGTTCCGTAACTCTAACTTATTTGATGCACAGAGAAAGACCTCAGCCTTCTGGCTATGGAACAGTTGGTTGGAGTGTTTTCCTTCTTTTAAGGAGGGCCTCAGGAAAAAAAATCAGATGTGGAGGCTAAACTAAAATTCTAGATCAGGGTTAGGTCCCAAAGTTGGGCTTCAAGCAGCCTCATATGGAAGAAAAACTTGAGTGATACGGGTTAAGGATCAACTTCTTGATGATGGTAGGAAATGGAACAGTGACCTGGTCAGAAGTGCTTTCAATGTCACTGAGTATGAAACTATCTTGAATATTAATACTCTAAAAACAAACATTGAAGTTAAATGGATTTGGCAACTGAACAAGAAAGGTAACTTCGCTATAGCAGATTCTTATTCTCACCTGATGGATATTAAAGCACTGAAGTTGGACTCTGCTGAAGTTAGCAACTCAAAACAAAGTGATCATAACCAGGAGTTGGAGGCTTAGATTCAAGAGTAAGCTAAAGCATTTTTTGTGGAAATGCTTTATTGGGATTCTGTCGGTTAGTTTGAATGTCAGAAGAAAGAGAATTGAGATTGATGTGATTTGCAGGAACTGTGGTGAAGAGGAGGAATCCATATAACATCTTTTCCTCAAGTGCAGCAAGGTTAGAAGATTTTGAAAGTTGGCACCCTTGACATGGGATGGAATCAATGACGAGAACTGCAACTTTAGCGGCTGGTGGTGGCCAGTGTGGTCGGTGGATAAAACTGAAATCTCAGAAGCCAGAATCCAACTGACAACATATATCCTGTGGTGGCTCTGACGATCGAGGAATCTATGGCTTTTTCATAAGGAGCACAAATCTGAAGCTGTGATTGAGAAAAGGGCATGGTTAGAGCGGCAGGAGTGCATTTCTATTTGTTAGCCTTTGTTGTTAGCTTTGTTTTTTCTTTCTTATTTTGATACGTGTAGTATCAATGTTGGTCTTGACTTCCAATTATGTGTCTGTGTGGTTGCAGTTTAGAGGGTTCAGGCTGTGTGTGCCTGCCTCTAGATGTATGTTAGTTTGGTTGTGTTTCTCAACAAACACTTTGATGTGGTCTAAAAGTGTGTCTTGTTTGGCCGTTTTCGGGCTTGTCCTCAGCTTGTATTTGGAACATTGTTACGCTTGTTTTTTTAGAGCTTTTTATCGTTGAAAAAAAAAACTCTCTTTTTATAATAAACAGGAATAACCTCACTTAAAAATTGAATTAGAAATATATATTTCTTGTAACCTTTCAAATTCCACAACAAACATTAATGCTCATTAAAAATGTAAGTTTAATTATTTATTTTTTTGAAAATCAATTTCGAGGACAATAATCAATTTTTCTGCACAATTTAAGTCAATCCATATTAAATTTTTAGCCATGAAAAAAAATCAAAACCGGATCCAAACCAATATTTATTAACTGATTTTCTAACAATCGCACTCATGAG